AGTGTGCCACGGCGAAAAACTCGTTCTCTGCCAGTTGCTGAAGCGGGTAGCGGTAAGTAGTGATACGAACGAAATGATACAGTCTTGTCGCTTGCTCGCTTCAACAACTGGTGGAGAACGGGTTTGGCACCGCGCCAAACTCATCCTGCCTGACGCGCTCCTTCGTCCGCAGCGAACTAGACTATAACAAATCTGTGCAGGTTTTGTAAACCTAGCCGCCGCTCCTCTACGACTCATTCTGTAAGGGGTATGTGACAAGACAAAGGCAACTGGCCGCGCTGCTGGACGTCGCGTGCGACGTCGCGCCCGCAAATGACGAGGTCGTAGATGGCTGCAGTAGACAATGTACAACCAAAAAATAGCCATAAATGTGTACGTTTACTAGCCTGCATGAAATTCGATGCCCCAGTTGACAGGCTAGTGCAAATTAAGAGAACGCCGCGCTCACCACCGCGCGCGACGGAGCGGCAGCTTATGATTGTCTTGACCGTCTTCCTTCTCCATGGCATGTTTGATAAGATTAGCAATGGTGGAGGTGGAGCTAGATTGCGCGGAGCCAGCTTATCGCTTCTGAGCTGTTGCTTTTAAGTAGCGCTTTCGAGCCCCGGAAAGTGAGATATGTTCTGTGACTGCAAGCATCTTGTAAACGAAGGGGTTTCTGCACCTTGATTGATCGCGGTGGGCGGAATTTGCCTCAGAAGGGTTTGGTTTGCAACTGTGTTTTAGGTAGCTTGCTTGTTTTCAAAGCGTGCAGTTCACATCCATCTGGGTACTTCCGGTGACGACAGGGAGGGTTCAGACAAAGGAGAGGCGGGGACGTAAAGTTGCTTTCGCTACAAACGCTGAGGCAGGTTCTGTTTCAAGGGGGAGAGGGGGAGTTCTTCATGGCGTTAGTACTTCTCGCCCTATTAAAGGGGGCAAGCGACAAGCATCTGCAGCAAAGCGACCATGTGTATGTAAAAGGGAAAAGTTGGCACGGGGATACGTGGTCGACGGAAGAAGGCGGGATGCCTCTTTCGAGCTCCTATACATCCCGGGTGGGTGAATCACTCACTGTGCGTGAAAAATTGGAGCAAGGGAGAGAGAGGCGTAACGTTAATGAAGCGCTTCGCACACATCGAAGCCTTCCATTTTGTTTTTCTTCAAAATGTGCAGAGCACCGTTACCCTGACGCGGCTGAATCGCTCGAGCCGCAGACTATAATAAACCAGTCGGATCGCCCGGCTGACGCCGAGCTCTCCTCCTTCTTTTCAGCTCGGCTTCGCCGAGCTGGCCTGGCTTCGCCAGGCGCACGGAAAGGAATTTGTTAATTGCCTGAGCTGCTCATATTGCGCGCTAGTGGTCGAATCATAATAGACAGAGTAACCTAGCGAAATCTGCACCCCTCATATTTGCAGAAGGCGTGCTGGTTTCGGCCATAACGCCCATTCTATACGTAGATCTTAGAAATATATAGGAAGTACAGAATATCAATATGTGTTGCGCAGTAGATGAAAAATTCCGTTTTTATTACCTGCATCACAGCACCAACGATGAGCGATTAACTTGTCATTAACATGCAATAAACCTGCTAGGGTTGCATGAATGGTTGCAGACGACAATATTTAGGCTACGTTCGTTGAATATCTTACGGACTACTTTGTTATTCGTTCTCATCATCATCATGATTAAATGTTGAAAAGCAACAAAAAAGTGAAATACTCACTGAACGCATAAAATCTGTTCCAATATTGAAGTTTTTGATTTTTCCAAACTTCCTGTTTCAGGCGAAGTATATACCCCCCTAGTGGGATGAGTACATTTTTAGTGCTAGTGCTATCAAAGGAGTGATGGCTGTGGGAAAATTTCGCTTACTGAGAGGCTTTTTTGGCAGTGTAGTGGTCAGAGATGTCGTGAGAATGTCCCCTTATCTTTACTTATCAATTGATAAAATTGCTTGTCACCCGTCATCAATGTCGCTATCACTAAAACTCCATAATTTCGTGGTGAAGAGGCTTCAGCATTTGACTGAGCAACAACTGCATCGTTTTCTATCAGACCCTATCAGTTATCATTTCCTGTCACCCGCCGTCGCCTTCTCCACCTTCCCCTTGATACCATTTGCTGAAATCAACGCCTAACTGATGCTGTGTCCCGCGTTATGAGTATGTTGTCCTTTCCACTCTAACTCCCCTTATCAGCAGCTAGCAGTTCTTGTCACCCACATATCCCTGTGCCGTAACCTATATCATACCTTGGAACAAACGCCCCAGTGTTCCAGTGGGACTCCCCCTCTGCTTCCTTCCCTTGCGCATGCTCAGATCGGGCTGAGCACGCGCAGGGGAAGGAAGCAGAGGGGGGGGGGGCACTGGGCGTCCCCCCTCCCTCGGCTCCACCCCACCCTGCCCCCGCACGAGCACACGTCCAGCTGCCACGCCAGCAGCTCGTGCAATGGCTCGGAGCTTACCGAATGGTTGTCTTATATAGCGGAGGCCGATATCACGATCAAAACATTGGATTGATACTTCCGCACCGATTTGCCCGTTTGCCTAGCGGTCGTTTTCGCCTCCAGCGAACTCGAACCCGTGAAGCATTTTGCGGACGGACAGACATACATACACATACTTACATACATACATACCGACAAACCGACACACAAAGTTTCTGCTTTATAGAATAGAAGGATTTTTAGGTGCAGAGCGTTTCGGATATCTAATGAACAATTTTGTCACTTCAGCTAGGAGATCTGCCGAATCTTGATCCAGAGAACAAATTCATTGTGTCCACAAGAATCAGATGTGGACGGTCTTTGGCAGGATATCCGTTCAATCCATGCTTGACCGAGGTGATTCCCACACATTCTATCAGAACTTCGTGATAATTCGTTGCTTTTCTATAGGTCAACTATAAGAACATGGAAAAGAGAATGCAGGACATCTTCACATCAATTAAAGACGATGAATTGAAAGTGAGACTATGTTTTTCCATTTCTCAGGTGTTGCTGTAAGGGCCTGCGCTTGGCTCGATCCCTTACCGCGCACATTCCGTCCTTGCACGCCTGCGGTGCATCATAATTCTGACAGGGATGTAGCGAAAGGATTCCAATGAAGAAAGAGCTCAAGAAAAGGATGGGCCGTCGTGATTTGTGTGCTGAGCTCGTCGTCGTAGACTTGCTGCTAGTTTGAATGACTTCTCAACGACGACGACCGAATAAAAAAATCACAAAGACGCAAAGAAATCCTTAACTAGACGGTGCTGATACACGGGTGCAGTCTCTGGACTCTACTCCCGCTTGCGCAAGACCGATGACACGTGTAAGGCTGCATTGATACTTCGCGGCACCGTCCACCAGCGTCCATCAGGGTCCAGTAGCGACCATCGGCATTTTGAGTGTTGATCTATATCGATCTGACGTCTACCAGCATCCACTAGAGGCCACCAGCGTCCAGGAGTGCGGTGTTGTGTAGTAGTACGTACGTAATGTTGCACACACTACACTTCCACGACGCCCAATCCAGCCGTCTCACTCCCCCTACTTCCCCATACTCTCTACTCCTTGTCGCTGGTGGACGCTGGAATACGCTCGTGGACTCTCGATATCCAAGCTTACGAGTCTTTCGAGATGCTCTTGGTCGCTGAAGGACGCTGATGATCGTTGGCGGACGCTGGTGGTCGCTGGTCGACGCTGGCTCGAAGTATGAGTGCAGCCTAACCGTAGTCAAACGCACTACTTATCTGCGCCTTCTCACCTCTAATCGTTCTCTACTTCTGAGTGTGTGCTCGCTGCAGAATTTCGGTATCCACACAGATGATGCACCTTGAGGGCTCGATCATGGAAAGGATCGATGCCTCGGGGATGTACGGTTGTCTTCGCACGAGGGTGTGGAGGGATGGGCTTTACAGAGACTCAAGTCTTTGTCATATTTCGGGTAATCAAATGTTTATTCTTTCTAGAAATGACTAAATGACAGAAATAAAAAGTGTATTCACAGGGAACTTATTACCCGCTCACTGGTATGGACGAGGAAACAAAGAAAAAACTGATCGCCGATCATTTCCTGTTCAAGGAAGGTGATCGCTTCCTCCAGGCTGCTAATGCAAATCGGTTTGTTTCGACTCGAAGAGTATCATAGGAAATTTTTTTGTTGGTTATCGACTGCATGCACGACTGCAGGTCATGGTTGGGGAAGTGGAGCGTTACTTCAGAAACGCGGCGGAATACGTGTAGCGAGTGGGTGACGAGAGCAGCATTCACACCAGGACCCGAATCACTCAACGTAGCAATGTTATGGCGCGTCGCGTGTCTCTCTACTCTTTCTGCGTTTGCGTCTTAGGTCAACTAGCTTTCTTCAAGCCTGTGCCTGTCTAGTCGACTATCTAAGAACTCTGCTAGGAAGGAGCGCCTCACATTTTACTGTCTACTAGGAAGGAGCGCCTCACACTTTACTGGTGAGGAGGCCCCAAACATGAATCTGTGGTTGGTGGAGTCACTGAAGAATTGAGCACAAAAATTCGTCGGAAGTCCCTCAAATGAGACCATTTCCTTTGCAAGTGATTTGTAGCGTTGGATGAACATTTGGGGGAGCGGCACCCCGTGAGAGACTGTTGCAGACGATGAGAAAACTTAGAGAAGAGAAGCCACTTCCACCCAGATAGAAAGGCAGTGTTCTAGGTGGGGCTGCTGCTGAGGGTGGCGCTTCTAGTTATTATGACGGCCTCTGGGTCACCTTATCATTCACTTTCAACCCGCTAAACTACCGGGCTAACGAAAGGAGGTGGCTCTTCCTATCTGGTGGTTTCATTGTGTGTAAAGATTAATGGAAAGGTGGGACTGAGTTTGAGATGAGTGATGGTCTATCAGAGTGCGTCACTTGCCGAACGAAATACAGTACCCTCACAGGGAGTCTTCGGTAAACTATTTGCTAGATTTGCTCGTATTGGGGTGAAGCACGTTAGGCAGTGTTCTGCTTCGTGACGGCAGCGCTTCGGTGATCGATGCGCATGCTTTCAACTGCATCGATCGCGTCGAGCGCGCGACCGAAGCGCTGCCGTCGCGAAGTCTGAACGCTGCCTTACATCTGCAGTGTAAAAAGGGCGTCGAAAAGAGGGATGGCGCGTACAACTTTCTCACCAGCTTTGAAGACCTGCTGTAACTCATCAATGAGACGGATCCTTCTTATGTGCGAGGTGAGCAGGTCCGCAGTTGTGGAATCATAAAACTTGCGCCGCCCTGAAAGACGTGAAAATGACCCTGGACTATAAAGCTGGCTGGATGTTCTTTTCGAACTCTGCACACACATTAAGTCAGCCATCTCAACTAAAGTGCAATTTTCTCGTCACCCACGTCTCGGGTGGCTGACCTTCTGCCCGACTAACCTAGGTGCAGCTAGGCTGGCAGCGCAACACGCCGCGCTACCTGCCGTAGCGAGGTGTGTTGCGCTGCCAGCATAGCTGCAGAGCCTGTCTCATGTTTGACTGAGTACCACTGTTCTCCGCAGCTTGCCAATACGTTCGTTGCGGAACCTCGCCATCAACGGAGATTCCGCGGTTACCGGGTTGGCATTCTGCCCAGCCACGAAATCAGAGCTAGGGAGAAAAGTGGTACTCTAGTCAGCGTGTTGCGTGTATTAAACGTGATGCGTAGCCGGCTTCACGCATTTCCAGGTGGTGAAAGTGAGGCAGTGTTCATACTTCGCGACTGCAACGCTTTGGTCGTGCATTCAACGCGATCGATGCGCATGCTTAGTGGAGAGCCCAGTCGCAGACGAGTTGCAGGGATGTCAGCCTAATAGAAAAGTAAAATGGCAGGGCTGGTATAAAGCTGAGCTTGAATTACTTTGAACGTTCCATCCGTTGTTACAGCTTTTGGCCAACGGGCCGTGGTATCTTCCACAATGAAGGCGAAACGTTCCATTGTTATGGGTAAGAAGGAGGACTTTTGAGGATGATCTCATGAAGCTGGTGAAGATGTGGGCGCGGTGTAGTTTTTCCCATACATGTTGAGAAACACTGGTGCCTGTGGGATAACTAATGAGTCTAGATCGCTGCTAAGGCGCGGATGAATGTCGGGCGCGGTGACAAACTAGGTTTAATAAGTTGTTGAGCCAGAGCAAATGAAGAGGACGGTTGCATATTCTTGTATCGTCGTTCAGTCCAACACTGGCAGTAGGGGGATTGGCGCGGTACTAGCCTCGAACCCACATAACAAAACGGCCCTTCATACAAAGAATTGCGGAGGTGGAAATATTAGTACTTTCAAGGTTCATCGTATCGTCTCAAATTAAGGGGCTGACTATTTATCTCATACCTAAAGTGGAATTTTTCGTCGGAGCACGATACACGTAAAAATACCAAAATCACAGAAGTAATGGAAACATCTCCGGAGCGCGCTAAAAACTTATTAGTTACTTTTAAAGGCACAACTGTACGAGCATCAGTGCACATCAAACTACCGAAGACATCTGCTAAGCCTGAGTTCAAGCAAATTTGCAGTGATATGAAGCTTCAGGTAATCAGATGTCCACGAATCAGCGTACACTAATTTGGGCATGTTTTGAACTGTAGATTCGTGGCATCCACGGTGAGCATTCGGAGTCTGCAGAAGGCGTCTACGACATTTCCAACAAGCAACGACTTGGTTTGACCGAATATCAGGCAGTACGCCAAATGTACGATGGTGTGAAGAAATTGATCGAAATGGAAACTGCAGCTGGTTAAATAAATCTTTGTTCTTGTTAATCAAGGATTACATTCATCAGAATCACCACAACTGATTTCAGTCCCACTCTACCTACAGTAACATTAGAAAGTTTGTTCAGACAGGTGATACATGGTGTGAGACAGGGACACTGCTGGCGAGTGGCAGAAAGATGACAGCTGATAGACTGATAGGGACTTTGACGCTCTTCTTCAAGGTTGTACAGTTTTCACACAAATTACAAAGGATTAGTGATGTAGATGTTGTGATGGACGACAAGTGATCATATCATTTGATAAGAGCAGACAAAATATATACGTTTCCATTTCTACTCCTAAACTGCTACATATTAGGTAATGCAGGGTGAAGTGAACTCTTTCCTTTACTGCATATCGATCTGGGGTGGGGCTAGGGGGAGTGTTTTGACACCGCATCACAGTTCAAATATGGTTTTGATATAACAGTTTTATTGGCTAACGTTTCGGCCTTATCGCCTTCGTCAGAGCCTGGAAAAAAGTCAAAAATCAAAGTGAAACTACCCTCGGAAATCATTTCAAACCTCAGATAAGCTAGTCCCAGACCAGTAGGATCCAGAAAGTCATAGAACACAACCACAAAACGACTCACCTTGAATGTACGGCCGGTTTTGCTTGAGACCACCGCTAAACTGACTCCCCGTGGGTGGCTTCAGCTGACCTGGCCCCTCGACTCGAAGCCGATGGCAATTGAAGCCCACACAGGTCAGCAAACGGGGCGAGCTCGT